ACTTGGCGACATGGCGGCTTGGTGGCAGTACATCCCTGGACGAAATTTTCCACAAGGAGCGCTGTTGCTATTAAAATAATATCCAAATGGAATTCTATACCAAATTATCTATCCAAATACATTTTTGCATCAAAATTGCAAGTTACTTCATTTCACAAATAAAGCAGTTGATATGTGTAAAAATAATGAGTAAATATTACTATGATCAATTGCTCCAAGAAAAACATCGTAATGAACTCTGCTATCGGATGTTCATATAACCACTCGAAAACATGTGATGGTCCGCATTACGCCTGGTGTGAGCTGGATAATGTATTACACCCTGTATATTGAAGTATAACTCTGAAAGTTTGTAAGTATCCTTATTAAGCATATAGGCGAACTTACCATGACCAAATTGTGGCCATTCTAAAGAAGAGTCAGGTCAATAATACCCTCAACAGACGAGGGTGAAAGCACTGATGCGTGTTGATGAGGCGAAAGATGTGTGACAGGACCATAGAAAGTTTTCTGCCTCCGATGGGAAAAAAGCGTGAAGTATATGTATGTACCTACGTATTAAGCATAAAAAGTTATCGAGTAATTTCATTCGATAACCTTCCTCGTGAAAAGTTGTCATTTAGTTCGTGAATAAATTATACATTATGCTGCAATTATATTATAATAATAGAATAGAATAGACATTTATTGCAACGTCACAACACATGATACAAAACAAAAAACACTTAGACAAGCAACATAGAATAAAAAGAATTAATAAACAAAGTAGAAAATACAAAAAGCAAAAAAAGTACATAAAAGAAGACAAAACGGACAAAAAGCAAAAAAAAAACAAAATATAAAGACTACAAATGTTGTACTGTCATTTGTACGGTGGCGTACGCAAAAGGATTTCATTCAGCTTTTAAAGCATAAAGTTACTGAAATGCAAAAAATGGATTGTAGATACAAATTTGCAGGCTGATTTCACATCAAATTTCCTTCATATTCACAAACTGGCTTTTACATATTCTTAAAGTAATGCATTCAAATTAACACCCTTGATAAGAAATTTAAAATAAATAGAAAGCTTTAAGATCTCCCGAATAATCACTCCTTATAAAATACGAGTTTGAGAATTTTTGAGAAAGAATCATTATGCCACAGCCATAATTGACTGTGGCACTGGTTTTCAATGAGGTTGTTTACCGAAAAATGTGATTCGAACTCGCACAGAAAGAGTTCGTACCAAATTTTTTCTATAAATCAAGCAACAGCTTTAATATCAATCTCAATAAGACATATCCTATCAACATCATCGCTAATGTTCAAAATCAAATATTTTCACAATCCTTTTCTTCCTTTATTTCCCTAACTAAACTTTCCCGTATTTTATAATGTCAGTAAAAATAACAGTGTAAATTGTACCAACGTCTCCGTTTTATTTCACGTCACTGTACATTTATAGCGTTATTGATAGACTCGATGACTTTATTACGAATTGCTGTTTCCTTGGTAAGGAGAGAGAGCTAGGTCGTGTACGAGATAGCTTTATTATTGATTTAATTAAGTGTTAAAAGGTTTCATGGATATTTTCAATTTATGTGCAGTTTTACTCCATCTCTGTGTATGGCATATTGTAGAAATGGTAATTAAGGGCTCGTTTAAATTAGACGCTTGTAGAAGCGCTGTCGTGATGCATCTGTGGCTCCACTACTAATTTTCATACAATATTTAGAAGCGCAGCACCACATATGTGCTACACGCGCGCCACTTTTGCAGACTAGAAGGCGCCACTTCTGCAGATTATAAATGTTATGTAAATATTAGTGCATAGTTTCCCAAAGTGGTTCCCACGCGAGCCGAATGCTTATTGGAAATATCACATACATCATTATTTTGCTTTGCAGTTGTGTACAAGTTACTCACTATGTTTTCTTTCACCATGCCTTCACCGAATAGCGCATGGTAAATCTGTAATTAAATTTCGTACGTATATTGTGTTATGTTGGGGTCTGTGTCTGTGTATGTGTGATTCAGCTATAGATTGTATAATGTAGATTAAAAAGAAGAAACCTGTCAACCATTATTGTCCAAAATTTATGGGGTTGAATTGTCGCCACAATATTTAACGAGTATTAAGGAGTAAGCCCACTCCACTGCTTACATGAAAACTTGCCGATGTGCGGCTTATCGATAAAATATCGTAAGAGACACGCACTTCGAACATTGCCTCCTTGTCATGTTGTTCTAAACGCGTATGAAAATAATCTTTAAATAGCAATTTTTGTCATTTTACTCAATGCACAGTTTTTAAACATTAATCAAAAGGCAAACAAAATAAATAGCCTTATTATTTCAATAAATCAATAGTCGGTACTAGGGAATAGTAAGTTAATGTAAGTAATTAATTACTATAAGTCATGTTAAATTCTTCTTGATATTTGCAACACAAACTTTCATAATTTATAAGCTCTTTCCAGTAAAATATGCAATGAAAATGGGCTGTACAAATTTACTACAGTCTTTGCCCTGTTGCTTATGAAGAACTTTATCTACGAGTGTCTATGGATTGCTATCATAAGCGTGCCAGAGTCAGTACAATAAATAATTTGTTTAGTGACTACACTGATAAATCCACGACAAAACTACTATTGTGAAAATGATAAATAATGTTAAATTTATTTGTGTTGTTAATTGAAACTCTAGCAGAATTCAATTTACAGTACAAATTACAGACTCTCTATTTTATCTCTGCCGAAGCCATAAAACAGGAGACGAACATTTCCGCGTATTAGAAACAAAATACTACACAATCCACGTACAACATTCAACACGGCAACGCTATGACCATTTGCACGTTTGTTGTATTGTAAGAAATGGTTATGAACTCGCTGCCCGTCAACAAATGGCATATTGTGCGGTTCCAAGAATATTGAGGTGCTATGAAGTTCAGGTTTTTGTTGCGGTAATGTCGAGTGGTTACATAGTTATTGCAGGTTTAACCGACATCTTTTCGTATGCGAACTACGTATATGGGCGCCATGTATCTTATATATGTTAGATCATAACTTTGCTGTGTTCGTCTACACATCTTCCAAACCACACATTCTTTGTAAGTTCTATGTGCAGTGACAGTGCCTTGAATGTTCACCACGTGGACACCCATTCTGAACATAGTGTCATCCTATAGGTACATTGGAAATGAAACTAGTTTTTCCGATCAAAATCGCGTATTTTTTTTTATAATATTAAGTGATGGGACAAACAAGTCGTGTGCCTTGCCCTTCGAAACCGGAACGCGGTAATGTTCACATTACTTATTGGCGGCAGAAATAAGTAAGGTGGCAGTACTTGCCTGGACGAACTCTTTCACAAGGAACTCTACTGCTACTAAATATTTATCGGGTTAATAGATTTTCGCGATTATTGCACATAGAAAGTGGAACTATTTTTCCTATCTATGGTTTATTCCCAGTAGTTCCGTGTACCAGCTCCACAATTATTTGTTTTTTCAAACAGTTAGCCGTGACCATAGGATCAGTAAGCGGCCCGAAACGTTGGTTTCTTTGAAAATACTAATGTTTAAATAACGCGTAGGAATACGCGTATATTTATTTAATTTTTTTAATGTGTAGCAATATGAAAATTAATTGAAATAATGTTTAGAAAAATGTAATATATACAAATGCAATGTATAGTTGCAGTGTATAGAACATTAATGTATATCCAACGTGAAAAAGCTAAGAATTCAATATCATCCTTTATTATCATCCTCATTTTCAAGTTGACAAAACGTTACGTGTAAGTATGTTACTTATACATCCCACAAATAAACACAAACTCACTCTCCTTTTAACTAGGTTGTTTTTTGAATGCAGTAGCGGGAGTCGTTAAGAGACATCGGACATTTGTATGTAGAGCTTGTCGTATTAGCATATTTCAATGGACATAAGAAATTGATTCATGTCTTATTTGACACAGGAATTGTAAGACATCAGTCGGGCTATTAGGCACTTTATATTATACTGGTAAAACAGGTCCTTAATATATAAATTCCTAATTAGGCGGCATAGCAGTTTTTACTAGAATCACGAAGCAATTAAGACTGGAAACATGTAAAATTCCTATTAGAAAATCTGCACTATTCATAAAACATTGGCGAGTCTAATGCAATAAGCTGTCAATAAAACTGCCTCTATCTAAGAGCGGTTACACACGGTGACAGCGATGCAAACGCGATACAGTAGCTAATTGTCTACCTTTACACACACGCGCGACTTTAAGCAGCGATGCAATCGCGCGACTGCATCGATACAAACGCGCGATTGTATCTCGCCTATAAATCGCAAGTGTAGCGATGCAATCGTGCGTTTCACGAACGCGCGTTTGTATCGCTGCTAAAAGTCGCCATGTTACACGATACTCTAATGTCTAGGTGTGTCCGAAGCTCACGTACAAAGGTAACTTACTGAGACATTAATTGCTCTGTGGCGGCAAAAGCAGCGAATGGTCGACGTGCATTTTATTGTCATTGCTTTTATTTGACTTTTCAACTCCATCGCGAAGCGCAAACAACATGATGTCAATGTACGGTACTGAGGTACTCTACAGTCACGAACATGAAGAATGTTGAACAAAAACTGTTTTTGTTGGTTTTATTTCAAGACATAATAGATTTCGGGCCGAAACCTGCGAGGTATTCCAAAACCGTGTTTATTTTTAATAATGTTCAATGGCTATCAAAACAGTTTTTCAAATCAAACTCAAACGGCCTGTTATCAAAACGTCTCGTACTAAAAACCGGAAATGTATTTTTTAAATAAAATACCGATGAGAAATACGGGTCACAAAAATTTTAGACAGATTCACAAAAATAAAAAATACAAACAGCCTTTAGAATCTCTTTTCAGCAAGCACATGCAACCCGAAAAAAATTAAAATATGAAGATTGTGCCATCCATATTTACTGCAAACTCTACCTGTCCATAGTGCATTAATTTGTCTTTTCTTTGTTACAGAACAACGGCATTGCTGCTGGTAGCGATCGCATTCACCTACGCCGCTCCGTCATCAGCGCCGAAAGACAATACCCTGAGCACGGACAGCAAATCACCGTCTACCCATGAGTTACTCAGTTCACTAGGTCTAAAAAAGCTTAGAATACCCGCCGCACATCACAGAAAACGGTTAGCGGAACAAGGTAGACGACATGCAACTGGAGATTCAAGAATGTACGTGATCAAGTTACCACCAAACACAAGCTATTATACTCATGCTGACCCAGCACCTGCAGCCGCTAGAACTTTACCTCTACAAATGACAAGCAACGGTAAACCAGCTAGAGTATACCACTGGAACATACCCGTATTGCACAAGCTGGCCAAAAACAGACCACAGGCAAGATTTGATGATGACATTGTCGACGTGGAAAGCACCCCTACTTGGCCCAAAGGTGCCAATAATCACCCAAATGCAATAGATCCTTTGGCATACTACGTTCCAGCAAAAAAATCCTCCTTCAGAAAGTATTTCTCTGGCAATGGAAAGCCGAAATCATTCTATGTTATTGAAAAGAACAAGAAATCCGCTGAGTACCACAGGCTGTTGCCGTAAATGGAACAAAATAGGAAACGATTATCACTCCAGGTGCATTATCGACTTTTTATTGTTCTCTCGATTTTTAACACGATATTTATTATATTATCCAATCCAAGTATAATATGGCCAACACGTGTAACCTCTCTAAAATGTCGGGAGAAGAATAAAGTATAGTAATAATCGTTTAGCGTATAACCGCGACATTGTTTTTTTGTAAATAGAAAAGTATTCATGTATTCATTTTAGAGCCTTTGTCTCCCAATTTTGCAAATATCTACATAACACTCACAAATTGTAAAAAAAATATCATTGCCCTATGAAAAATATCTTATTATTTCATGTTAAAAACATATCTTTATTATCTATTATTCTTACTGCATATGTCTGTACTATTGTAAGCTGAATTTATTGTATTTTTCAAGTAGAACAAAATTTCTAAACTACCCTTTTTGAACTCAAGAAGCTCATATTTAAATACGGCAGCGTGTGCTCAACGAGAGTATTTGATAGCAAACAAACATCTAAAGACTTCATAGAAATAAATATAAAATATACGTAAATATATCACAATAATACATTAAGTTTCAATTTAAAAATCATGTAGCACCCTCGGAGATATTCAAAAAGCCAAGACACAACATCATCAATTTTATTTTTTAAATTTATAATGCTACAATATGATGACGCCCGGAACAGGACTTTGGTAATGATCGTACGTAATCAAATCCTTTCCGTATGTTGTAAATAAAAATCACCTTTTAAATGTTTAGTTATTTGTAAGACTGCGATACGAATTTAAATTATTATAGGCTAAGTGTACCGCTAAAGTTTTTAAATTAGAAACTGGAAATAGCTACTTAACAAATTTCAACTTCCTAAAAAGATAACAGACGCTAACATACAAATAGGTGGCCTATGTTTTATGTGATTGTGTCTAAAAACAATTTGTGGAAAATATCTGTTAAAAAGTATAGCCCAAAAGTTTCTAATTTGATTTTTTATCGTGGAACGCATTTATAAACCTTTTGCATTTATATGAGAATAACGGAATTATTTAAATATTTAAACATTTTTCTGTTATTTACTTTTAACTATAGAAGTCATTGTTCTAACCACTCACTATATTGATTATAATTAAGTTTTCCAAGCGTTAAGTATTATTTTGTACAACTTTAAGTTAAGGGTACCTACGTAGGTATTTAATATTCTAATAAAAAACATTGTAAAATGACTTAATAGTTTTAATTTGCCTAAGCTTGCGTTTGCCGCATTACTTTATGAATAACAGATAACACATGAACACAGGAACTATATTATAAAAGTAGAGAATACACGAAAAGTTCGAAAATGTACACTGCCATCTAGAAAAATAGCAGTAAACTACTCCGAATACTCGGGCGTTACCCTATAGTCGAACCGCAAACACGCATTTATAACTCTACACTTCTTCGAGTTCTTCACTCATAATTTAGATGGCGCTGTACACACTAAAACCCTGCTCTACCATCGGAGTTGTCACCACATGCGCGGCAGGCTGCGTCATTTATAAAAATTCGTACCAATTGTCGACCGACACAAATCTATAATCGTCGCCTCATGTAAAAATGTCAGCTGCAACAAACAGCACGAAAAGCATCAAAGTAAACGTGAATAATTCTAGTGAAAATACAGGGCGGACTGTTGAAGAAAATAAGGACAAAAGTATGAGTGATAAAAGCAAAAAAAACGATTCGAGTATGAATAGTAGCACAGTTATAAAAGTAAAAAGTGTTATCCCTAGACGTAGGTGAGTTTTTCCTAAATTTCTTTAATTATTTAATTTAGGTTTAGAATTGGCATGGATAGTATTCATTTCAGTGTTTAGTTTTATTGTAAATGTCGGCATGTCGAAGGTAAAAACGGTGGTAGTTGTGTTAAGCTTATTAGAGTTAGGTCGCGTGAGCCGGCGACCTGCTCCAGATTCCTGGATATAATTATGCGTTCGTCTAAAAATAGTTCTCTTACTTCCAAGCGTTTTTTTAATAAAACAGCTCAACTGAAAATTAATGTTTGCTTTCCCGCCAAATCGTTCAATTCTTTCGGGCGTAACATTTTTTTTGTAATTTAGTTTTCGTGAACATGCGCGCGTGAGGTTAGCATTAGTTTAGAAATCCATAATTTACATTAAAAAATAGTCAACGCTTTGTGTAATCTCGGTTGTTTTATCTAGCTATCTTATCAAAATAGGAGCAAATGTGAATCACCTTTACTGTAATAATACGGTTTTTTACATGATAATTAAAACCAGATATTTTATTTCTGTTTTGTTGGATTGCTTGGAGATACGATTACAATGGGTCTTCAATAAAAAATATCGGCAATATAAAGCAAAAAGTACGTAATCTACACACACTACTTTTTACTTATTTTATTGTCATACAGGAAAAAATGTTACTAAATCGATTATACATACAGATAAGCGCACTTCACCTATCAAACATCGATTTTTTTCAATAAATGACGCAACATGCGTGTCTTTCCGTTAAAAATGTCATGTACTTGTGGTGACTTGGAAGGAGCCTTTTTTTAAGTATTAGCCCTTTTAGTTAGTCAGCAAACGAATTTTTGTACCTAACGAATTACATAGCATAATGAACTTCATGTCATTTGTGTAAGATACAAACCATATACAAACTAGACACGATACGGTAGTGGCGGGAATTCGCGAGACTGCGAGGGAGTTCTCCGGAAGACGTGCGTCTTGTTCGTACTAGGGTTGTTGCGAATATCAACATCAGCATCCGCATTCATCTATGTTGATATTCATTGCGAATGTTCGAGTCGTGACATGACCTAAAAGGCACGCTGGAATAACTTACAAACCTTCCAGAAACAGACTGTAAGCTGAAAAAGCGGTTCAGCTGTTGTTTTTAACATATAACTTTGGTAAAATTCATATTGATTGTTAATAAATGTCACAAAATCATTGAAATAATTAAATAATTTTATTACGATACATATTTTGCGATTTTTTTAAAATACCTAAAATCAGTATCCGTTGATGTGTAAAAAACCTGCATCAGCAAAAACCCTGGTTTGTACATATGATTATTATATATATTATATTATATAGATATTGACTCCTTTTTTCTGGAACTTTAAGTAATTTCTCCCCAACCATTGGTTAATTAGACTTATAATGAAAACATTATGAAGCTGTATGTGTAACTCAACCGCGATTATGTATTTACGTAAATTTATGACATTATTTATACTTAAAACTTTAATTTTCTAAATGTGACGGGTGGGACACTGAGGACACTCGACTGTTTGAATTAAAGGCTTCATTGTCAAGATCAAGAAAAACTATTAATATTTTGTTCAGCAAGTTTTTCATGTGTGATAACTTGAATGTTAAGGTTCTATTCTATATATACACTACATTAATAACTTTGATAAATTTTATAGAAGTTAATGTGCTAAGTTGTGACGGGTGGGACACGATTTTGTGACGGATGGAACGAGTTACAATTGAGTTCACAGAAATTAATAAAATTACACCGTTTATAAAAGATCCGTCGTTACTAAGCAAATATTTTGTAATTTTTCTCTTATTAAAACATTTAACATTCATTTGCCGTTTGGCACTTATTCAATCAACTTGTTATTGAATATCGTCAAAAAAATCTTTTTAGAACTGTGCCTCTACCACGAGTTTACTGTGACAGGTTGTCGCTAGCTACCGCGTAAATTACTTCACAATTTTGTATGGTAAATTATACAGCGCCCCTAGTGGTCACAAGAAGAAACAATATTTTGTATACAAACACATTTTTACGCGGTCACTAGCGATAATTGTCACTGTAATCTCATGGTAAAGGTACTGTTACGTAAACTGTCACTCCTCCCGCACCGCAGAACACAGCTATCTCAGGAATCGGCCCAGTTAAGCGGTAGGCCTGTAGCTTCTTTAACAAATCGACGACTCATAGATTTAGCTGAATGCAAAGATGTCATTAACATCCTTTCAAATTCTAATCGCTATAGAACAAGGCACTAAACCACAGAGATACTGAAACGAATGTAACACGTAACGTTACGTTTTCTTGATTTTGTTTGAGCACGACACGTTAGGGTCCGTTCCCATTATGTCGGGACGACAGATAGTCGTGCTGTTTAAAATATCATTGGTTGTATATTTAAATTAAATTTTTCACATATAGTACAACGCGATTGCCTGTCGCTCACGACTTTTTTGTCGTTACGAAGACAGACTGTCGCGACTATGGGAAGAGCTAGAACGACAGTCGTTGGACGATAAATAAAACGTCACGATAAAAATGTGACGACAGATAAACGCGGCTTCAAACGATTCTGTCATGCAAGCGACAAGGCGGGTGCCGTGAACCTATAAATTGTCGTCACGATCTTGGGAACAGCTAGACACGACAGTTGTCCAACGACAAATAAAAGTTACGACATAACGGGTACCACGCCCTTATTACTGCGAGTCTAACTAATATTTATTCATAATGATATTAACATTCCTCATGCTTATTCTTTTTACATTTTTGAATATTATAGGGCTGTAAAAAAATCCGTGATGCCATAGTCCTTGGTAACATTGACCGCATGATCTTACCTAGAAAGAGCCAAAACAATTTTTCTAAGAACATCTTAATCTGCAGAGACATGGCAATATTGACAAGCATATTCATTATTGTGTAGAAAACACACACGTAATATAAATATGTACAATAGAATTACGATTTTCGCACATAGTTAAAATTCAAATAGCAAAAGTAAAATAATTACGAGACAACGTAAATATATATATTATGAGTCTTATGAATATAAGTAGAAGGTTAATTTGAATGGGAATTATTAAAACGTGTCTATGACATTTAATAAAACATAGATGAATAACTAAATCAGAAATTGCAAAATAAACTATTTTTTCAGATTTAAATCGCGTATATTTGTTTGCTATTTATTTCAATGTAAATAAATATTAGACAACATCACATATCAACGGGCAGTACATCTCACACCTTCGGTTTGTAGATGATTTTGTTATTATGGCGGAATCTCTGCAGGAACTCGGCGAGATGCTGAACAACTTAAACGATTCTTCACAGTGAGTAGGTCTCGGGATGAATGATGGGATGATTGTCCAGGACAAAACGAAAGTTATGTTCAACGCACATGTGACCCCGGAACCTGTAACCGTAGATGGGGCTACTCTTGAGGTTGTACACAATTACGTCTACCTTAGCCAGCGCAACTTGGCAAGCATCCAGCTTATCAAGCACAACTTCGAAGGAAGCCGACAGAAGATTTCGTTTGGGCTGAGCGGCATTTCGGATGCTTAGCCACATCTTCAGGTCGTCAATCTCACAAAGCCTAAAAACTAAGGCATTAAATCAGCGCTTTCTACCAGTTATGTCCTATGCAGCCGAGATGTGAACATTAATAACAGGCCTCGTCCATAAATTCAAGCTCGCTCAGCGTGCGATGGAGCTATCTATGCTGGGGGTTTCTCTGGTGGACCGAATCCCTAACCAGGTCATACGTCAGAGAACTAAAGTGACGGACATAGCTCGCAAAATCAGTAAGCTTTAGTGACAGTGGACCGGGCATGTCTGCAGGAGGGTTGATCGCCGATGGAGCAGACTTGTTTTGGAATGGCGACGACGTCAAGGAAACGTAGTGTGGGATGGTGTGCGGCAAGATGGACGGACGACTTGAGCAAGGTGGCCGGCAGTGGCTGGATGCGGCGGCACAACACCGGGAAAGTTGGCGTGCTCCTCATAAGCCTCCCCTAGGAGGCTTATGTTCAGCTGTGGATGCGTGTAAGCTGATGTTGAACATCACATATATTGCTCAGATCCCAAAATACGTAACTAAAGCACTTGTGTTATGGAATTTGGAAACAACGATGGCACCACAAACACCCAGGCACCAGACAATATAGAAAAGTTCGTTTTTTTTTTACATTGACCCTACTGGGGATCGAACCCGGGACCTCAGAAATGGCGACACCGTGAAAACCGGTGTGCAACATCTCGAACACGGAAGTCGTCAAAACATTTACAGGTGCCTTACGGCCAACCGTGTCCATGGGGCCTTTTTTGTTTTTATGTAATATCAAGTAACGGGACGAACAAGTCGTGCGCCTGATGTTAACCTACACGCGTGTCCATAACAGATGCAGTGCCACTCGGAGCTTTAAATCGCAAATATCTGAGGGGCACTACCAGTGCGCCAGTCACCTTGAGACATAAGTTGAAAAGGCCCATGTGCTTGTAATTTCACCACCCTTAATGCTCACATTACTGCTTGTCGGCAGAAATAGGTAAGGTACTGGCAGTACTTTCCCTGGACGAACTCTTTCACAAGGAGCTCTACTGCTACTGAATTATCGAAATCGGTTTACAAATGTCGGAGTGACAGCGTAATATACAAAAAAAATTAAAAAACTGACGCATACATAAACAATTACAAATTACACCCAAACTCACGAGAGAAATAAATGTAGGCCATACAAATATTTCTCCCGGCCCGGGAATAATGGTAACCGTTCGGCCACGATGGCAGTTATTATAAAATAACAAATACTGGTAGGTCAATGATACTCAATCATTGGTTGGTAGATCAATGTACACAATAATGTTTCTATAAGTAGAAACGAAATTATAAACATTTTAAGTACATTGTAGGCCCAGTATGCCAATTTGTTCCCTTGTATTTAGTACAACTGTTGACTAAATATTAGTAATCATTAAGCCTTTTGGAAGCCTTGTGTAG